GTCCGTGCCGTCGTTAACACGTTCGGACACAACACAAAATTTTCACGTCCCATCCAACTTCATGCCAGAAGTGGAGGGGAGCCATCTACGTTTGTCACGGTTTCAGACACTGCAAGACTTAAGCTTTCATAGAGGACTTTCAGTGCGGAAAGGTGGGAATTCGCGCCGCCCGGCACACAGTTTGGCGACAGTAATGAACGTATGATCCACCATGTGTCTAGTTGCGGTGTGGAATATGAAGTCAATATAATAAATCTGTTAGGGTTGTTAATAGAAGTCCTGAAATGCCGGAAATGGCATCACAGTGGCGCTTTTGAAGGCACGCACGGACACCTTGAAGTCAGTCACAAATGCACCGGTGTTCTTCCAACACCATTTCTTTGACTGTTAAGAGCAATTTGAAGTCAGTGTTGATAAAATCTGTTTAGGTGAGTTTATTTAAAATAGAAGCCCTGAAAGTCTCACATGGCATCAGGTTTTGACATTCAATTTAAACATTGGCCAACTTTGACGCCACGCCAGACAACCTTCAACGTCACAGTCACAAAATGGACCGGCTTCATCACCATTTTTTTGACTGTACTGACCATTTTGAGCAATCCGACAATTCCTAAGGGGAGTTAGAATATCAAAATCTTTAATTCTTTTCTTGTTAGTGGACGGTTCCAGATGCTACGTGCAAATTTTCGTGGAATCAGGACAAAAGCGCATAAGATGAACCAAAGCAGTTTCTGGAATTCGCGCATTCTAGCGGAAAAATCGTAGGCAGAGGGGCATGGCTATATGGGACTTCAGGCCTCCTTACGAACCGTGAGCTACAAGTTTTGAATGTGAGCAAACGATTCGGGTTATTAGGCGTCACGAAATTTGGCCTACAAATAGCGCCGCTAGTGCCTTCTAGTGCTCTAGTGGCCGCCGAATGTGACGCATTAGAATTACGCAATTTTTTTACCAGCACGACAAATTTGCCAAATAAATTCGTAACGCGCATATATGTTCAGGGGTCAAAAATGCCGTCAAAGTTCTTAAAATAAACATAGCGTTTAATAGGACTCCAGCGTCGCTGTGTCGGTCCTACGCCTAACCTAAATATAGTGTATGTTTTAAAAAATGTCAAATCATATAACGACCAAAAACAGTGGCAAATGTGTTAACATACCTAGTTTAACCCATGCTATAGCTCATGCCAGTGGCTTGCAGTGTTCCTCATTGGATGCCAATCCCGAAAAACTGGGTTGGGGAAGACAGCCATGCTTGATTTTTCTGTTAAGATGTTTTTTTGAATGTACGAATGTACCTTTGTTCATGGTGGGATTGTTGGTATATGTAAATAATTGTGTTGTAAGACGTTGGGTTCGGTATTACGCATTCCTCCCAGAATCTGAGGATCACTCAAGACCACATGCATAAGAACTCATAAAGGCAAGGCTATGGTTTTAAAACTAGGTATGTGTAACACATTGCCACTGTTTTGCGTTATTAGGTTGAGTTTTGAACAATTTTTAAAAAACTTATATTTAGGGCCGAGCACAGCGACCGCTGGAGTCCTTATTGAAACTGCTAGTTTATATTTTTAAGAACTTTGACGGCAATTTTTGACCCCCTGAACATAATATTTAGCGTGAATTTATTGGCAAAATTTGTTGGCCTGGTAAAAAATTGCGTATCTATGCGTCACACAGTCGGCCACATAGGAAGGCCACTAGAACCACTAGGCCGCTATTTGTAGGCAAATTTTCGTGACGCATAATAACTCCCGCATCGTTGTCTCACATTCAAAAACCTTGTATCCACGCGTTCGGGAAGAGCTGAAAGCTCCCTATATTAGGCCAGCCACTCTGCCTAGATTTTCGCTAAGAGCGGAAATGTTCAGAAACGGCGTTTGTGTTCATCTATGCGCTTTTGGTCGATTCGCCACGAAAATTTGCCACTGTAGCATCTGGAGACCGCCTAACAAAAAAAGTAAAATTAAAGTATTTTCGATATTTCTAACTCCTCCCTAGGAATTGTTCGGATTTGCTCAAAATGGGTCAGTACAGTCAAAAAATGGGCTGAAGAATGCCGTCCCAATTTTGTACTGTACGTTGAAGGTGTGTCGTGGCGTGGCGTCCAAAGTTGGCCATTTTAAATTCGACATGTAAACTGATGCCATTGAGACATTCAGGCTTCTATTTAAATAACTCCTCCTACAGCATTTTATCACCACTGACTTCAAATTTGCTCATGTATCAGTCAAAAAAATGGTGTAATGAACACCGTGCATTTTGGACTGTACAGTTCTAAGGCGGTGTCCGTGGCGTTTGCCGTCAAAGTCGGCCACTGATGCCATTCCGCATTTCAGGGACTTCTATTTTAACTATCCTACAGATTTTATTGGATTGACTTCAAATTCAATCACTGCAATCTAGACACGTTGGTGATCGAAAGTTGATCAAACATTTACTGTGCGTCAAACGGTGTGTCCGTGGCGTGGCGCTGAATTTCCACCTTTCGCACTGAAGAGTCTCTCTATGAAAGCTTAAGTCTTTTGCAGTGTCTGAAACGCGTGACAACGTAGAGCGGTCTCCCTCAGCTTCCAGCGAGGGTTTGGGCGTGGGGCAACGTGGTGCATGGCGGTTGCCCACCCAGCGCTGCTTGCAGCTTTAATTAATTGTTTCATTTACCACCAGGACCACTGACACTGGTCATCTGACTGAAAGGAACATATAGTCACATTTAGAAATGTATTACATGTAGTAATTAATAGTAACTAACAAGTAACAAGAGGCACCTTTGGTGACTTTTCTCAGATATCTGTTCTATACAAACCAGCACTGAAAGAATGTCAAGTTTCTCCACCGTCTGTGTTATCCATGTGTTATGGTGTCTCACTATTTTATCTTCCGCCCAGTTTTCCTTTGCCACATCACAAGGATTTACCGAGGCTACATCTTCACACATAGTGTAGTCAATTTAACAATGGCTTTGGCAGAAAAATAATAGTAACTGTTATCGCAATTTGAGAAATTAAGAAATGAGATATGTAATTGCTTTTAAGACACACTTAATTTTTTGATAATTTTTTATATCCTGTAATTGGCCTAATTGCTTATGCAGATCATGTTTATTTCAACCCTTATTTTATTTTATCCAGTGTAGCTATGTGTGGCATTTTTGCCTACAGTGTTTTGCTGAGAGATGCAACATAATACAATATTTTGTACACAGATAAAAGCCTGATAACAAAAAGCCAACATAAATGTTACTTTTAAATTGATTGAGCATGTGCTGGCTAGAATTTAAAGATAAAAACCAAAAGCCTAAATTAAAAACTAAGCGTTAAGTATGTATCCTATCCTATATGGGTGGTATAAGGCTATATAGGGCTATTTTCATTTATTTTAAAAACTGTCACTAATTTATCAACCCTGCATGCTTGTATTTCAGATGAATGTACAATAACCAATTCAGGGCGTCTTTTTAGATATGGCTATAGGCTTCTTCTCTAAGTCTTAGATAAAGGTCAGTAATTTCATACACATCATCAGATATTACCAGGTTGTGCTCATCCATAAGTTCTATACATAACTGAAACACATCCGCATTACAAGGATAGTCCTTGAAACAACGTCTTCTCGACATATTTCTATTTTTATTTCATCAACTGGCTGCAAGAAATTCTAAGCAGCATAAAGGTTGGGAACAGCATACATTATAGAGGGGCAACCATTAGGAGCCCGAGGATTGTTGGTTGCTCTTATCTGATGGTCATTCTAGGCAATTACAACATCATCAAGCTCCTCCTATATAATGGACAGAGAACAAGTAAAAACATTTGTTAAAATTGTTTTATACAGTTATACAGTGGATTGTAGCCTAAATAGCCTATATGGCTAAGTGCAAATTAGCCTACTTATACGCCATTACATCTCAGGCAAACACGGTACATTTTACTCCACTTCATCTCTTTCACATCTATGTACTAGTATAGACTACTTTCAGATTACATTTTTCATATCCTTCCTGTCCAGTGAAAACCATAGAAAACCTGGTGATTTGGAATTAGCATTTCACTGAAAACTCAAGGATAAAGTATGGGTCTCCTATCCTCTTAACTCATAAACTCACCTAAATGCAAGGACCGTTTGAGTTTTTAGAATGCAAATAGCTCAAATAACTCAGTTGAACCAGAAACTCATCATTATGCCTCATTCATTCACTATTATCTCACTTTCCTTCTAAAACAGCTGACTATTCGCATTTAATCTTTCAGGTAAACCAATCTGATTTAATCTCTTCCAGCCAATCACGTTCTTGCTGTCAAACTTTAAATCTTTTCTCTCTGCTGCTTTCAGTTTCTTTATGATATTTAACTACAGTCAACTACTATTGCTATATAAATTGTCATTTTTTTTTGCACGCAGATGTACCTCATCCATCAGTCGCATCAATTGACGCACAGTTTCTCTGTCGGTAATTATCCCGGCCATCCAACATTTCTGGTGCATCCATCTGTAGCTGTGCTGTCTGCCAGACATTTGTAAGTGCTGGTCAATGAAGGATGCTACTTCAGCTACATCTGTCTTATTTCATCTCCGCCAGAGCTGATTCTTAGTATGATATTATTTGATTCCTCCAAAACGGCTAAAATCTCGCAATTTGTGAATCCACGTCTAAAGAAGTCTTCAATGACAGTATCCATTTGGTCTGCCACACTTGTCTCATTCACTTCTGTTGCTTTGGAGCATATGAGGAAACTTTTTAAAGAGTTAAAGAATCCTTTTTTTTTCGTTACATTGGCGGAAATGAGCTTCCATACATTTACTACTGTCAGGATATAGTGAAAGTTTCAGCATATATGATAAAAAGTTATTTTTATAAAAGTTACCTACTGCAGTTTTAAATATTGCCCTTGTGATATGATTTTAAAGAAAGTAAAAGGAAAAGAATTAGGATTTATCCAGAATGGTTGTAATGGTTTCTTCTCAGTCGTAGTACACAGCAAAACACAATCACAAGAGTTAATGAATAACTGATTTATTTTGTAAATCTTTAACAGTTTGAAACAATATTCTTTGTACCAAATGATCTAAATTACTGACAATATTCACACAGACAGTGAAGAACCCTCCGTGTGCTTACCTTCAGTTAGATAAATAGCTAGGTGCCACAGATAAAGCTAAGACAGAATAAGGGGCACAAAAAGGGGCACAAAAAGGGGCTATGTTTGGTTAAGGGTCAGGTCTAGCATCAGATATAAAGCAGTGGTGCAGTCAAAGGTGTACACAGGCACAGAACACAGAGAATGGCTACTTTTTTCAATAAGAGTAAATCCATCTCTAATACATAATAATACATGTTTTGAGGTAATGCAGACAGCAACATGTATGACCAAACCTATTTAAATACTCTAGATTATTTAAAGCTCACTAGGTTATTCACATTGTCATGTGTTTTCTCCTTTGATGGGAACCTCCTAATTGTCACCTTTTTCACCTTGTGCCCAAGGATTACTGATGTGTATAACATGGATGAGGCAGTCAGTGTAGTGTACACACTTACTCCTCAGTATGCCACTGAAGTGAAGAGGGACAAGAACTGACACTTACGCAAGGGATCAGGGATCTTCTACGAATACTGATGCATCAGTGTGCCATCTCAGAGGCAAGGCGAGGGGTGGGGGAAGGCGGGAAATAAACGGCAGGTGTCAGAAGAAAAAAGGATGAGTTGCGGAATGGAAAAGCTAGAGCAGAATTTGAATCCACGGAGCAGTTTAGGAAAATACCATACTGATTATTTTGCTGTCTTCATTCTGCCATCTGATTGCCACTTGTCTTAATTCCAACATATTAGATTTTTTTTTAAATAGTGCGATCCACAATATGTATTAAGGTGTGTATGTGCGTGTTCGCATGGCAGAGAGCATCCAGGCTGTGCCCGGAGCTGAGAGCAGATACGCTGATCGTCAGAAATGTAAGTATACTGTGTATATATCTGTGTGTGTTGGTGTCATGGTTTGCTGAACTATCCTCATGTTACTGTATACAGTCCATGACATGTATCTGCAGCGTGTCCATATCTGGAGCCTGGTACTGGCACTTAGGACAACATAAATCTGGCAGTTCCTCAGCTCCAGCTGCCCCTTGATCGCCGACTGGTTGATTGCGGAACGAGGGGGCAGGGGGCGCCGTGTTGAAAGCCGCACCAGGGAACAGACCTAATGCGAAGGAGAAAGGAAAGCATGTTAAAAGTTCTGACCAGAATTTTTTAAAATTATTATTATATAATATATATATATATATATATATATAATTATTTAAAATTATGAATAAAAGGATATGACTGAAAACAGTAATGGCTCCATGTGCTTTTTGTTAAGTAGTTGTTACAGCATGAGCAAAAAAAATTTATTTTCATTTTGTTATGATTTAATTCTAACATATTCAAATCTTAAGGAATGCTGTGCTACAACTTTGAAAATAATTCTTTCTGATATTTTTGGTCTATTGTGTGGCATCTCAAATGAGAAGTGAGTTTTTATTAAAATGTGTTAAAATGTTTGTTTTACAGAGTTTTCCACAAAATAGACTGTACTATTCATTAGTCTATTAATGCATATTACTTCAAACTAAACACACAAATGCATGCTTTCCCTATAGTGGACACATCAACAACCATTTATGCTTGAAAGGCTTTTAAAACAATGTTGAATTTGTGCATTTGTGTGTGTGTGTGTTGTGTTAATGTACCTTGTGGAGGGGGAATGTGTGGGGGCCGTGTTGGAAAGTCCTCCAGGTGTCGCAGCTTCATTTGCTCCATACGTGCACTGAAACAGAAGCCAACATGGATAACCTTCATGTGCAATCATGTTTTAATCAAATGTCTAGAAATATGAATATTCATTCATATGCAGAGGACAGACACAGCTCTGACTTCAGATTTAAGTGTCAGTGTTGACGACGTGCCAACAGAGCTGCATTTGATGACGGCTGCAGTGAAGCTAAAGTCAGCTCAATATGCAGCATCTGATTAGCAATTGAGATTGAGGGCAGGGAGAGAAGTTCAGCACACAAGGACTACGTAACCCGGGTTCCGAAATGACTTGGTTTAAACGTCCCTCGAAACCAAAAGAGTCGCTGCAGTATCATTTTTTCCCCCACCTTTTAGAGATAACTTTATTTTATTTACCGTGATGTGGCTTCCTGTTTGAGCCTGTCAATCTCAGCCATGGCCTGAGTCAGCTGATCCTGCAGCTCCTCCTTCTTCTGGTTCAGCTTCTCTCTGGCCTCTCGCTCTGCTAGGAAATCTCCCTTGTAGATCTCAGCCTAAGCAGACACAGAGGCAGTGAGAGAGAAAGAGAGATATGAATTCATGCAACAACAGCCATTTTGTTTCATTTTAACATTCTGTGTTATATATTATATAAGTGTTACATTGTGGGTGCGGATAATAAAGGCAAGTTTGTGCATAACTGACACGTGGCTCAGAGGAAGGCCTCAATTAACTGACATGAGGCTCAGAATGGGTTTACCTATATTAAATGCATTTAAATTCTGCTTTGGGCCCCCTAAAGGCCCACGCCCACCCTGATTTAAGGACTAGAAGATACCCTAGCAGAGTAGGGCATTGGCAGCGATTTGGGGTTCATGGACATATGGACAGGAGAAGCTGGGGATCGAACCTCCAACACCAACCTTGTGACACTGGCTCAATCAGTAGCTTTTTCCATTGTAGACAGCCTGAAGTACTGTTTAGACCCTTTGCACTACAAAAACCCATATGATAAAGCACAGTCACTGTCACCAGTTCTGCTTTTGTTTCCAGTGTTCACTCACCATCTGGCAATAGACCAAAAACAGGTGTTCTGCCACGTAAAGTGTAAAGTTTTTTTGTACAAGACGTCTGATAGGTTCAGTTCCCTGCCTGAAAGGGCTATCTGACGATAAGGTGAAGGGGCGAAAATACTCCAAGTATAGCTTTCACTTAGACTGATACAGATTTTTGATATATACAGACCACATTTTGCTGCTGCCCTGTCCACACAAATAAAAAATAAAAAAATTATGCCGTTTTTGGTTAATTTCTTGTATTTTTCCTAGCTTTTGGTACTTGATAAAAGTTCTCGGTTTGATCGTTTTGAGCAACCACAAACATACATTGTAATGATGCTTTTACTTTTGATTCAGCACACATACGCAGCAGAGCAGATTTTTGTTTCTTGTTAGTAAGAGAGAGTGGAAGAGAAAAGTGAGGGAGGGAGACCCGTTAAGCTTCTTTTTGTCCCCTCCTGCTCTCTGTAACCACAAATACTGGGTTTTAAAGCAGCCAAATTCACCTAGTTGTTCTCACTTACATATTTTCTGTTGTCAGAGAATCAGTATATGTATAAGTTTATGATCACAACATTGTCAGACAAAATAAAGATGGCTACACTGGTTCAAAGCAACAAAAGGTTGTGATGTTAAGCGCAGCCTCCAAATGTGTAAAAATTGTCGACAACAATACTCTAAACTAATAATAATTCACATATTATAAGAAGAACCGACGCTCGCTTCTGAATTGCCAGTGAACATTGAAACTGCGGCGGCTCAACACAGCTGGAATGCGATGCAGCTGGATGCAGTGTACATATGACACAAGCTGTGAGCTCAGCTGTTATATGCAGTACATTCATTTACGATTAAAAGCTTACTGAAACCCTGAAAGTCACAGAAACAATCCTTATGTGATAGTATAACTAAATATAGCGGTTGAAACCAGCAAAAGACCAAATCTCACCTGTGCAGTGAGGACAGGAACAGTCTCCAGCGAGCCCTTCAGTTGCTCCACCTCCTCCTTCAGTTTATCGATCAGGTCCTGCTTCAGGGCCAGCGCTCGCTCTGCCTCCTCTAGTCGGCTGCACAGATCTCCTCCCTGCGAGACAAGCAAACAACACATGCAGGTGAATGTTGAGACCTGGATCTATGAGCTAAAAAGCAAAACTAATGAGGGTAAATGGATGCATGTGTTTTTACCTCAGCCTTCAGCTTAGTATCATAGTCTCTAAAAAGACATGTGTAGGCATGTTGCAGTTGTGTCAGTTTTTTCCTAAGAGGAAAAAGGGGAAACAGAGTTTTTACAGTACAGTAGAGTATGCCAAATCTCAGGTGTCGTGCAGTATTGAAGAATTAATTACCACAGTGAAACAGCTAACATTACAATGCTACAACAAAAATTGAGCATTTCAACTCCAAGAGAGCCCAAAGAAAGTGATGTAATTTAATCTTGTGCGCAGAAGATGAGATAATAAAGATAAAGGTGATGTAAGATTCTGTAGTATTTTATTTATTATTTGTATGTATTAATCACTTTTTACTGCTAATTTGTGAATGGGTTCGAAGGTAAAAAATGGGACCTTCCCCAACAGCCTGAGGAATGGTTTCTTTGTAACCTGGAGTCAATGGTCCAAATAAAATATAGGAACACTGCAGATGTTATTCTAAATATGATTGTTATTTATTTTATAGCGTTCAGTGTTCATTTCAGCATTCCATGATGATGCTCACTCATGGACTGCGTATGGAGTGCCAGTGCGAGCAACGGAACACTGACTGCAGTTCAGTTGATGGCCATCAGTGTCACTATTAACAGTAGTTTTCTGAAAGTTACATATAAAACTTTTAAATTTCAATTCAAATGGAATATCTGTGAAGTAGTAAACATCTTTTTTCACACAAGATAAAAATAATATTTATTTATTTCATGACTTTGTACATGATGGTCCACACTGCTGCTGATCTGGAGTTTTCCTGTTTACTGAATGTAAATACAATACAATGTGACAGTGTCACCACTAATTTCTCTTATTTTGAAAAAAGCCTTTTTAAAAGAAAATCCATTTGACAGAAATCTTTCAATCAGATCTTTCCAAATATTGTAATGTGTGCAGAATTATAATAACCAGTTGGGACAGTGCTATCTGTGTGTACGTGTGTGTGTGTTGAACCCACTTCTCCTCTGTGACGACATGTCTCTCTGTCTTCAGGGCCTGCTCCAGGCTCTGAGTCTGCAGCAGCAGCTGGTCCATGGCCACATGATGCTGCTTCCTCTGCTGCTCCAGCTCCCGCTCTGCCACCTGCAGGGCTTTCATTTTACTGCACAGCCTAGACACAAGGAAACACATCAGCACACCTGCACGTGAACACAGACAAGTCGACATGCTGTATATATTCATGCTGATCTGACGTGTTAACTTACTTTTCTTCCAACATTTTGCGTTCATTCTCGCTTCTGTCCAGGCAGCTCTGTCTCTCATTCAGTTCCCCTAAAAGGGACGTTGCTTGAGCTTTCAGAGCCTCGCAGTCCTTAGCCAACTGAAAAAATACAGAATTACAGTTGATATTCTAAGGCTGCTTTAAGCAAGATTTGAAATATTTTGACAATGGAGTAATAGTCACAGCTGTTCGTAGTTCATACCTGGGCACAGTCCTTGTCCTTCTGTTTGAGGAGAGCTTCAGTTCTGTCCCGCTGAGCTGAACTCTTCTGCAGGTAATCAAGCTTCTCCTCCAACTCCCGATACCTACAACAGATTCATTACTAAACTGGGATTTTAAAAAGTACTAGACACCGACTGATATATCCGTTGGCCGCAGATGGTCCTGATGATATATGTTACCTGATATGTGCAGATATGAAAACAGTTTTTTTCCGGTATATAATGTGGTAATGTATTGTTGTCACTGCAAAGTTTCTCCAGCAGAGCGCACTGTGATTTATAATTCTGTGGCAAACAGCACAGAGTAGGGGGAGGAGAAGAAGCTCTCACTAACGTTACCAAGAATTGGTTGACAATCTACGTTAAAGTCTAGTCTACATTAACTTATTAGGGACCGAGCCAGTGACAACTGGAAGGTCTTAACATGTTAACTTAACATGTTATTTGTTTAAGCAAGCAGCCTTCTGAGTACATTTGCATAGTCATATTGGTGCAAAATCAGTGCACAATCCACATAGAAAAGTTTTTTTGGTTTGTTTTAATTCTAGCAAAAAAATCCACTATATCGGCCACCATATTGATAATCTGTGAATTTTTTCACTCTAAAATAAGTGTCTGCCTCAAAAATCCCATATTTGTCAGGCTCTAAAAAGTATGAAAACACATATTTTAATCTAAATTGCAATATGTACAATAATACAGCTACGTCAGTGAATTATGGATTTAGTTCAACCAAACCCGAGTTGGTGATTATTGAAACAGTGTTTTGGTAAGTTTTATTTTGTTTCTGTCTACTTTGAACGAAGTTACAATATTCCAATAATAAGCAAGATAAAATGTATGTTTTTGTCTATGGAGTCTGGTGGTAAGTGATAGCGATATTACAACTTAGTAGGGTAGGGTTTGGTATCCTTTCCATAATGTTGTCAGACAGAATTATTAATATATATATATATATATATATATATAATAAATTATTTATTTTGACCAAACCAGGTTGGTGAAATACAGCGGAAAGACTTTTCAAAGGTTTGGTGATTTTTATTTTGTTTTTGTCCCATTTGGGTTTGTCAATACGATGTTAAAGGGGAGACTAACATGCAAGTCCTTCTGACAGAATAAGACATTGTTGTGAGAGTATATCAACATAACTGTCATAACAACATATGACAGAGAAGAAATGGATGAAAACCGATCTAAAATACCAGACAGTTACATACAGGAAACAAACTGAGTTCATAAATAAGAGACGGGCAGGTAGCACCAGTAACAGATACATATGTTATATATATATATATGTTATATATACATATATTGTCATATATATGTTCTTATGTAATTTATTTGTAGCTTTGGCAATATTGTTGTTTTACATTCATGCCAATAAAGCTGATTTGAATTGAATTGATACACAGTGGTGAAGCGATATTAGTATAGAGAGAAGGCATGCACACAGTGAGAAAGAGAAAGCCACACAGAGCTGTGGGCTCACCTGCCCTGTGTGGCCTGAAGCTGCTCTGTGAGTTTAGCCAGGCTAGAGCTAGAGGAAAAGGGAACAGAAAGAGGGAGGGAGACATCTAAAACGTGAGCAGAAGAAATGCAGAAATTAAAAAAAGCATGCTACTGGCTTTTCACCATAGAGACGAACTGTCTACAGACAAATAGTATAGTTAAGATTAATTAAACAGCACTCAGTCCAAAAGCTGCTAACGACAACTGGTTAAATAAACACAGGAAGACCAGTCAGAAAGTTTAGTGGCGTTAGTTTCATCAGTGCACTCAAGTCGTGGAAAATGTGACATACCAGTCAGAGGAGTGCTGTGCCTCAGAGCGTGGTTGAACAACCTCCTCAGTCACACTGCTTGCCTGTAAAAACATTCATACAAGTCTTTTAGATCACAGACAGAGCAGCTAATTCTTGTGTCTATCCATGCACATAACATTCCTATTGTACATGCAGTTGAGTGACACACAAGATGTATCAGAGGGAAACGTCAGCCAAGAAAAGCAGTAGGAGCTCCGCAATAACACATAATATTCCTTGATAAAAATGATAAAATCAACAATGCTGTTTGTATTATTTTATTTTATTGCCTTATTGCAGTACTGAAATGTTCGAATCCAGGTTCAGCCACATAAAGCACTTAGTAACTTCATTTTGAAAGGTGCTTTGTAAATAAAGTTTATAATTTTTTATTATTATTATCATTATTATTATTACTGATCATTAAGGCTGTCCCCTTATAGCCGACTAAACCATTAGACACTTAGAAGAGTCTTAGTCGATGCACTTTTCATGAGTCACAGAAAGTCACAGAAAAACCAAAAAACAGGTTACACTCTGTTTGGGGGGCGCCCTGATAGTTCACCTGGTAGAGCTAGAGTCTGAATGTACCAAGGCTGAATGTACCTGACCTGGGGCCCTTTGCTGTGTGTCATCCCCTCTCTCTCACCCTTTGCCTATGTATCTTCTACTGTCCTATCCAATAATGATAAATGGTAAATGGACTGTACTTATATAGTGCTTGTTAGTCTTTCGACCACTCAATGCGCCGTACACTACATGCCACACTCTCCCCATTCACACACATTCATACACTGATGGCAGTGGCTGCAAGGTGCCAACTGCTCACTAGAACAGACACTCACACACTGATGCACAGCATCGGA